AAATTAATTCCATATTTTGTGCATGTTATGCAAGATTCAGTTGGGCTTCTGGGTTTGAAGAGTGTTAGACATAATTTCAAATACTTTTTATTACTTGTTGATTTCTATAGGTTTCAATTTTCCACGTTATTTTTATATCTTTTACACGTTTTTTTTTTTCAAATTTCTAGTAAAATCCTAATCTGGTTGTATATATAGAATTTTAATGCTAGATTTAATTGTTATATGATGATCTTGAATTGGAATGGGTACAAAAGGGTAGAATGTTAAATAGTTTATCCCTTATAAGTATTTTGATAAATTTCTCTTCTTCTTTTTTTTCTTTGATTCATGAATTTGTGGTTACATTACCAGCATGTTAAATTTTAAAATTCAATCTCGAAGATGTATTTTGGAAGGAGATTGTAGTTGAATAGAGTGCATCGATTAACACACCAAACCCCATCCGTATAGAAAACAGTTCAAGAAGACTTCGGATAGAAACTGGGAGAGACTAGACCTGTTCCCAATGGAAGAGGCAAGTTTCATAGTGTGAGTACTTTGGTCAGTATTTGGGGAGAGATGACTTTCAGCGTATTTATCTAGTGGTTTGCCGAAGGTTGCAATATTAAATAACACGCACTTCCAAACTTAGTCATGAGATGTAATTTTGATATTGGAAACTCTTCCGATGACTTGAGAATCTAGGGTCCAAATCAAGCAGATCTATAAACATATGAAAACCTTGAAAATGGATGGCCCTGATAATATGTTGCAAGATTTTTTTTTTTTTTTGGGACTTGAAATCTTTTTTTTCCGCATTTTGTACATCTCGATGTAAGGATGATCAAGTAGATATTTTTCCAACATCAAAACAACTTTTTTGGAGGGATTTTTGAGGCGCACCTCTATTCTGCATTTTAAAGTGTCAACTTTACCATAACTTTTTCCATGTCTAATTCGCAGCTCTTGATGTGTGAATTACAATGACCTTCCATGAGATAATCCGCCTTTTAAGTTGTTATCTCAGATGGCATTACTTTAGGAGGAAATATACAATAAGATTATACAGGTTGGGTACAATGTTACCTACAAGTCATCATTATCATCATCATAGCTTTTTTCCAACTACTTTGAGTTGGTTTCACGAATCGTCGTCTGCCATTAACCACTAGGGTAAGGTTCGTACTCTCATTATGTTCATAAGTCCTCTAATCTATTCTTACTACTTCATACAAGGTCACAACTACCATTTGAAATTTTTCTTCGCCCTTGGCTGAGCGAGTTATTAGGCCGAGCCTAGCACCAGCCCTTTGAGCCCTAAAGACATTAAAAAAAAAAAAAAAAAAATTCTTATAGTCAAAGTAAATTGAAACCTAAAACTGATTTTAAAATTTTCAAACATGCTTCAAAATGTGGAGAGAAAATAGATTTTAAAAAACAATTAAAAGTTTAGGATATTTTAAAAAGGGAAAAGTTTATATAGAGCCTAGACTCTAAACAATCAAATTAGAGCCTACTTCAAACATATCATTAGAAGAGGTTGTTTTGATGCCCAAATATCATCAAATTGATCATCTCGACATCCCGATAGATGGGCATGAGAAAAAAATGGATTTCAAGTTTTGAAAATAGTGCATATTGTAATGCATTTTTTGACCGTCAATTTTCAAGATTTTCAAGTTTTCATAGACATGCTCGATCTACACTAGTTTTTAATCTTTAAATTTTATAATAGAGATAAAAATATATTTCAAGGCTATTACAAAAATGTCTAGCATTAAAACCATATTTTTCGATACTATTTGAAGGTGAGCTCTAATTTAATTGTTTAAAGCATCAGCTCTATACAAACCACACCCTTTTAAAAATCCAAAAAAAGAAAAAAGTATGGAAATAGTGATTATAGCAAAAGACACTATCAATCTTTGCCAAAGACATTGAAATCACATACTAAAAGATTATAAAATAATTTTAAAAAAAATTAAAAAAATATATAATACTCTTTGCCAAATACATCAAAATCATATACTAAAAGATTATAAAACAATTTTAAAAAAAAATTAAAAAATATATAACCCTGAGTTATGTACCCACCTTGGGGGCGAGGTTGAGTTACTTCTCTGCCAAGTCTGAGTGGACTCAAGTGAGTCACGACACACTAAACAAATTAGTTACATCTGGCACCTAATGATGTTTGTGACTTTTTTTCTTCCAAATATAGTCAGTCTTATAGTATACAATCCCTACCTTGTTGCTGCCATCGGATATCTCTCATCCCAAATCCAAAAACCCGTCTCTATTTTTAAATGAGTAATGATCCTATAGGACCCTCCCCTAATATGTGTATAGGATTCCAAAGGATCACCATTAAAGTTGGTACGGATCTCTAGAAAAGTTATCACATGTCATGTGTGGAATTTGACTTTTCTATAGATCCGTGGTAAATTTAATGGTGATTCTTTGAGGTCCTGCACACATGGGTGGAGACGGGTCCTATAAGATCATTTCTCTTTTTAAATTAGTCTACAAAAAGAAAGAAACCCTCTCACCAAAAGGTATTTGTTCGGCACTTGGAAAAGTATTGATTTGAGTTTATTTTGGATCAAGATAAGATGGCCAAATAAAAAGAAAATAAGACAAAGAGCAGTGGCTTACTTAATGCCAATGGCTTACTTAATGCTTATGGTATACTTTTACCCTTTGATTCCTTCCCTTCTCTTCTTCTTTTCTATTTTTTATTTTTTATTTTTTTATTTTTTGGTAATTCAATGGGAAAGGCAGGCCTCTACCCGTTTTTCTAAGTAGATTAGAAGTTAGTTTTTTTAAAGTATTAGTGTAGATTAGAAGTTAGCTTTTTGAAGCTATTAGTGAAGTAGTGTTAGTCGTGGGAATGGAAACTATAATGTGACAATTATGATGTGGGTAATTCAGTGGCTATTCTCTCTTTTTTGTTTTTTATTTTTTATTTTTTGTTTTTTGTTTTATGTTTTTTGTTTTTGTGTTTTTTGTTTTTTTTTGGGGAATTCAGTGGGAAAGACGAGCACTTACCCGTTTTTTAAGTAGATTAAGGAATTACATTTTAAAAGTGTTAATTGAGGGAATCAACCACGATGTGGTAACTAGCTGCGAGGATCATTGTTTGCAAAATCGCCCGATCTAACCACTAACCGCCCGGTTAGATTGGAACCGGCCAGTGGCCTGTTCCAGTTTTGGGTAGTTAGGGTGATCAACCGGTATTTAAAAAAATAAAAAATAAAAAAATGTATATAAATTCTCAAAAATAAGGAATTTGATTTGTAATGTAATTTTAAATATTCTTTATATTATGGAAAAGATTAAAAAAAAAAATTGGTCATCAATACTCACTTTATATTTTTCCCATCTTTTTTAGAAAAATAGTCCTTGTAAAATGTAAAATGGGTTAAAATCCATTTTTTTCTTTAATTTTCAACTTCATTTGAATGTTTTTTATTTTAATCATTCTTTATAGGGAAAGACTTCTATAGTTCCCCTACAGTATAGAAGATCTACGCTTCCCTTACCATCCAGCCGTCCAATTTTGATCAAAAGAGACTTATCGTTTGATCTTAGTCCGACATCTTAAAATATTTTATTTTCAATTTTTTTTATACAAAGTCTATGAATATGACATTTGGAAGTTTTAAAGGTATAAAAAATATTAAAAATAATTTTTCTATAAAATATAATGATCAAAATACCCCTTGAAAGTTTCAAGAATGTTTTGGTCATTTTACTTATTGAAAATATTTTTTATATTTTTCACTTGTGCGAGTTTAATAGAAGATTGGACATCCAAAATTTGATGTCAAAATAATTTATATAAAAAAAAAATTAAAATTAAAATAATATAGAGACGTGACATTGTGATTGAGACAATCTTAACCATCCATTCAGAATGAACGATTGGATAAAAAGAAGTATATAAATTTTATGTTGTAGAGGAAGCATAGGAAGCTTGCCCTCTTATATATCCTTTTCATATTTTAGTACTTTTTTTTTTTTTTTCGACGCTTCTTTGATAACCCGAAACTTACCCGGTTAGAGCGGTTGAATCGGCCGATTTGCCGATTAGACCAGTTAAACCGCTTCCAAGCCCATGTCCGATTATCCGTTCCGATTCGATTTTGTGAACACTAGATGGAATTCTACCACCACGACCCCAGCCTCCTCTTTTTTGTTGACATCTGTATATTGGACAATGATCCGTAAACGTCTATTTGAATATAATTAGCGTAAGCTCCGTTTCGGTTATTTTTGGGATCAAGGCAGCACAACACCAGGTTTTCCTCCATTTTTCTTCTGGTTGGGTAAATTTGCATATCAATGACCATGGTTAATAATGCATTTTTGGGGTCTCCTGCTTTCTCATGGCGTTTGTAATTGCATATTGCTGACTGTTTCTTAATATTTTTTTTTGGGACCTCTCCTGTCCTTGATCAAGGCTCTTTCTCTGTTCTTAACGTCGAAGTTTGAATCCCACGAGCCCGCTAAAAGCTGAAAGCCAAGGCATATTTTTTTCATTACTTAGTGGTCCAGCAACAGCAACACATGTCACTCTCCTTTTATATAGTTCAAATCAAAATGTCAACCTAAATCCCCAACTGAAGTTATGGGCACCTGCCCAATCAGAAACTGCAGAAAAAATCTGCAGCTTCAAAGACGCAACAATGGAGATCTCTTTCTCTAATGTCAACCTTAAGGCCGATTTGAAGTTTTGGGCACGGGCACCTGCCCAATCAGAAACTGCTGAAAGGAATAAGCAACTCCAAAGACACAGCCATGGATAGATCTGCAAACTCAACCAACCTATCTTCTTTCAACTCACCATATAAAACAAGCCTAGTAACCAAAAACCTAATGCAGGAAACTGAAAAATAAATAAATAAATAAAATAAATAAATAAATAAGAAGAAAAAATGAATCCAAATAAGCCCCAAAGAGGAAAACACCCAATTTGGGTGAAAATGAGATTTTAGGCCTTGAAAGCTTCAGGAAACTAATGAAAAAATAACCAAGAAAATTAGAAATATAGAATCCATGTGCATTTTGTTTACAATCCTACAAAGTCTTTTTGGTGGGCATTCCCACCTTGCAAAACCAGTCAATGACTCGTATGTATACTTTCATCTTCCATCCAAGTAGAGAGTTTTATTTCCTAGCTAACTGTATCCCTAATATATAAATATACCATATATAATTACAATAAAACAAAAATCCCACCATTAAATGAACAAACAATCACGCATCAGACCTTAAACGAGAGGCAATCTTCTGTGCATCAGTGAACAAGGGGCTCGCTTAAACCCCATTAAACCTTCTCTTTTCCAGAGGATTTATGAGATGATGGCCTGTTTAATTTCAAGGCAACAGAAAATGGCAATAATTTAGTAAAGCACTTCCCAATGAATAAAAAATCACCATACGTCACGGAGATATCTCCCTTCGGTTTGCAGATTCTTCACCATGGCCTCTGCCGGGGAGCTCTCCATAGAACCCTGCAACGAAAATCCATACATTACATGTCAAATGTTAGGTTCACAGACTTGCTGACAACTTGTTTATTTTGCTTGGTCTTTGATAGTAATGTGAATTCATTTGTATAATATGATAATACAAACAGGCAATAAATTCATTTGTATCATACGATAATACATACACTTGAGAATGAATTTGTATGCTTTTACATGTAATGTTGCCACCTTATATAAACTTTTTCCTTGTATATATGTACACCAAATACTATTTGTTTTCTGTTAACCCTATTTTAACAGAATGTTTCTGAAAATTTGGACAAAATTTAAAAGAAATTTGTTAAAAAAATAATTCAAAAGCAAACTATTCCATAAAAAAAGGGAAATAGAAAAATAGAGCATATGAAAAGAAAAATTCACAAACGAACATCAATAACATCAAAAAAATACATAAAAATATTTATACATCAATTTAGTAAGCAAGTATAATTTTTATGATTTTTTTATATATTTTATATGCCTGAGTTTGTACTCAGGACTTGGCCCAGCAAGGCCCTAAGGCAGAGTCGACTCGAGGAGTTTTAAAACATTGCATGAAAGGTTACTTATAGTCACAACAATTTTACTTTTTTTTTAGATAGATCAAAGAAATCAGAAAGGGAATTTCCATACCTGCTCTTGAACAATGGTGTGCAGTGTCCTGTGGACATCTCTGGCCATGCCTTTGGCATCTCCACAAACATAAAGATAACCACCTCGAGAAATTATTTCCCAAAGGCTTGATGCCTGTGTAGTATAATTAGGTTAGCTCGGATATGATGTTTTAGCTTTCTATGTTATATGAGAAGTTTTTGGGATATAAAACCAGAGATGTAACATATTCTGCTGACAGTTTAAGCGACAAACCTTGTCTATCATCTTGTGTTGAACGTATTCCTTGGTAGGGCCCTCACGAGAGAAGGCAATAATGAGCTCCGAAAGGACCCCTTGTTCCACAAAATTGTTTAGCTCATCCTCATAAATGAAGTCCTACACAAAGAACATCATATCAGTTGTTTCCAAGATATTAGGAAATTTAAGCAAGGTTTCAAAAAATGCTAGGCGGCCCCTATGCGGCCTGTCTGACACCCAGCGCCTAGCCGGGCGCCCAAGGTGGTCCCCATGCGGCCTACCTGACGCCCAGCACCTATGCGGACCTGCCTGACGCCCAGAGCACCTAGGCGGGCACCCAGAGCCTTGTAAACCCCATAACTTGGGGTCAAAATGACCCATTGCCCTTTTGGGCGAATTTAAAAATTGAAAAATGCCGTACGGTCTTGGGCGCCCGCCTATCCCGCGTGGGCACCCGCCCATGTAGGGCCGCCTGGGTCAAGACATGCGGTTTTTTTGTTCAGGGCACCTAGGTGCCGGGCAAACTGTTTTTTGAAACCTTGAATTTAAGAATGCACATCAATGTGTCTGTGTCGAGAGACAGAGAGAGAGAGAGAGAGTTCCCAACTTTAGAACGCCTTTCGCAAACATGACAAAATACATATCTGCAGGCATGTGAAATTGAACATTGTTTGATTCCAAAAGGCCAGAGACTAATATATTGATAAAAGTTACCCCATGAGAGACGCTCAAACACAGTTGGTAAAACATAATAGAGATATACTTACCATTCTGTGATTTCTGCATCCAAAGAAGAGGATAGCAGGCCCAAGCTCCACCCCAGCTTCTTTGAGTGCCAACCTTTCCTGAGAAACAAAATATCAAAGCATTATCCTAAAGAAGAGAAGAAACAAAATAGCACAGAACATTTTCGGCAATGGAAGCTCTTTCATGGCAGAGAGGAAACAGAGAGTACACAAAGAGAAGTCAATTACAAACCAGATTCTTTCATGGCATAGAGAATACATAAAAACAGCTGAAACAGAAATCAGTTAACCAACCTGTAAGAAACCCCTAAAAGGTGCCAACCCAGTTCCAGGTCCAACCATGATGATGGGAATAGAAGAATCTGCTGGAAGTTTGAAGTTTGAAGTCCTCACAAAAATGGGAGCAGCACTACAGTCACGGCTCTCCTCCGACGGCACAGAATTCTGAGAAAACAACTCCAGTTGCTTCAATATCAAAACAAAATACACAAACAAATAAATAAAATAAATAAATAACTACTAAACACATAATTTGATCCCAGATTTAAGTAATATTAGCAACAACCAAAAAAAACAGAACATAGCAACCACTGTCAGAATAATTCATTATAAAAACTCATTATGCAAGAAATTTGTCAGTGTCAAGTAGTTGAGCAAACCTTCATCCAAGAAGAACAGACACCTCTATGAATCCTTCCAGTGGGGGTTGGTCCTTCCACCAATGCGCAGGTAACATGAATTCTCGTAGGAGCCATCCTGTAAAAAGGAAACAAAAATCATTATCTTTTCATCATCAAAATAAACTTCTTAAAATTATGGATCAACTATTTTCAGGGTGAACCGGAGAAGTCAGAAAGGGGTATTCACCTAGGCGAGGATGAGATGGAATAATATCGTGGTTGCAGTCGAGGAGCAATGGCAGCAAAGAAAACACCAAGAGGTGGTTTGGCTGATGGAAACTCAGCCATTACTTCTAATAAGCTTCTCTGGTTTGCGACAACCCACTGTGAATATTCATCCTGCAAAATGAGTAACCAATTTTGGATTAGAATACCTAAATATTTCATCAACAAATTTAACTTGATTTTAGTTTCCAAAAGGTGAGAATTCTTATTTTTTCTATCATGAAGAAGAAACAAATATCAACAAGCAGACTGCCTTATAACATACCTTCCCAATAGGAGATGCCAAAAATCTGAGTCTTTCAGCTTCGCTAGGATCAAATGCATGAGCAGCCAAAGCGACCAGAGCAGCCTGGAAAAAAAATTTGTGTGCACTAGATTCTGTCAATTGAAATTTCCTACAATAGATTTTGAGGATAGACCAACAAAAATAAAGAGATTTTGCTGATAAATAAGGCTCGGTTTCCAAAGGGTGATGCCCCATAGTTACACTTCCCAATAGTTCAAGCCTATCAATGTGCGCTGTATAATAAGGAAAAAGGGTCTCCCAACCCTTTTTGGAAACAATGCAAAATGCCGTTATAAAGCATGTTTACAGGATCGGCAAACCGATCTTTCACTGCCAGCATAAAATAAGGTAAAACGCCCAATATTCCATTGCAAAACCCTCACCCAAACAATGCATATATACCCGAGAATAACAATGAAATATTTAAGATGGAAAATCACCTTTCTGGGAGGATTCAAAAGGTCAGCATAATGAGAAAGTGCCTTTCTTAAGGTTATTGGAGATGGGAAAGGAGGCGGTAAAGAGCTTCCAGAAAGGGGCGTCCCATCTTCTTTGTCAGTATGGATTGAGAAGAAAGTTTCTGGTGAGTAGCCTAACAACTTCTCTGCTTCCTCGGCAATCTCAGTGCCGTTATCCGCAAATACACCAACATGATCACCTGTTTCATACCTGCATCAAGGAGCACAAGACAAGAGAGTAATTCACATGTAAAATTGGCTTAAAAGAATAAAAATAACTATAATTCATGTATGAAGGGAGAGGGGAAGAAAATAGTTTGTTACGGCAGTCCCAACTCCTGATAATGGTTCAGTTATAAAGAAAATAATGAAGCCCATCATTTCTGGTGCACAATCAACAAGAAATAGTTACAGTGGTATCAAAGCGGATGATTCAGCTGACTAATAGAAAATGGAATGGAAGCAATTAGAAACTTTGAAATCGAAACCAAAAGCCTGCTGGTATAACATGGAGAATTCTCTTGTTTTTTGGTTGGGGGGGGAGGGGGTGGGGCGGGGGGAAGGTGGGGGGACATAAGGAGACATCCTCACAATGGGGATTCCCCAAGAGAACACATGCTCAAGGTAATGAAAACAAATATAAACAAGCTCACAAATTCAAATTTTTCCTATACTGAGAACATAAAACTTCATCATGTGGGAAACTTCACTTTAGCACTCTGATCTTAGGAATAACCAGCACGTTAAATACTTACATGAGACCTGTGCCTGAAATGTCTAATTCCAAATGTATGCAAGAACGATCAGATGCAGGCGTGTGAAGCTCCCTTCGAATAGCGACATTGGCTCTGCATTCAGAAAACAAGTTGCCCATCAATTTACTGAAATACAGATGCACACATACACCAGTCTTTCATCTATATTAACTTCTAAAAATTGAATGATCGAGTTTGGTAGAAGATGGTGATAAGATTGTTTGGAGAACAGTTAAGGTAAAAAATAATAGAAGTAGGACATCTGAAACCCGCATAATCCTCACTTCTACCTGTAAGTTTTCCAATTTATTAGCTCTCTCAGATTTTTGTTTTTTCCTTTATCAATGGCGACATGCTTAATCCCCCACTTCCCCACCCCCCATCTGTCCCCACCCCGAAAAAAAAAAAAGCAGGAAGAAGAGGAAATCTTGAATGAGTGAGGAAAAAGGAAAAAAGCAAAATTGGAAATAAAGTATTTTTATGTTAAATTCAAGAAAGAAATTATCACTCTCTCTGTTTCCAATAAACGGGGGCCACATGCCTAATCTCCCACTCTGCACTAAATAAATGGAACTTTGAAGTGAGCCAGAAAAGCACTAAAATAAGGAATTACAAGATTTTCAAATAAATTTAAGAAAAAGTAAAACAAATAAATATCACTCTTTGCTATGCACCAGCAGAGAACTAGTGTATGAGTTTAAAATATTTGTCTGCGTGCACGTGCGCATGTGTGGCAAGAGAGAGAGAGAGTACACACTTGCCTAACTAAAAAATCCAACAAACACCTCTATGTACCAACCTGCATGGGTGCTGAATGTCATGAACAGCGTGACCATTGGCCATAGTTGAATATTTATCCTCGTGCACTGCATCAGCAGAGTCGAGGAATATTACTCTGTATTCAGGTACTGCAGCAGTGTAAGGGGTAGAAACAGCAGGAGCATCATCGTCCCCTCGAAGCAACTTATCCAACTCAGGCCACAAAATCTCTCGCCTAAAAAGTGACATTGGAAGTTATGTGAACATTTTTGTAAAAGTAAAGAAAATTCACATTTATCCTCTAAAAAAGAAAAGGAACAAACGTTAGTGCCCAAGCAAAGTGGAAAAATCACTCAAGCACATAAGAAAATAGCACAGCCACTTGGCCCAGAAATACGAAAAAAATAGGCAATGCTCGTCATCTCACCATGCAGTAAAGTCATCCTCAATGCATTGATCATCATCTCCTAGACCCACAGGAACAAGGCGGTTTGCACCTATAGCAACACATTAAATGGGTAAACTCGCAAACCCGATGGAAATGGAGAGACGAAAGAAGATGAATGCATGTAATGCATTAAGAAAAGAGGGTACCACCCTGCAAAATGACTTTTTGTTCGGTTCAGTGGGCACACAGCCCCAATGAGAGCCCGGGTCAGAAGCAGGGATCAAAGGGGCCAGCACCGCAACCCAGGACAAAGACACCACATTATGAAAAGGAGGTTCCAACCTCGCTCCTTCATTTCAATGTTTGCAACATTTTATAAATAATGTTCGCAACATTTTGCACAGCACTCCAACAAGATCTACTTACCCAAAAAAAAACTACAACATCTTTCAGTATGAGCATCATGGGAAGGATCAAAACTAAAAATGGAAGTATGTATATGTAATCACAACAGTGATGCGAGTACATAGACATTGTGAACGGACCAATATTCTACTATGATTCTCACTTATAACTCACATTGCTAAGTGCTTGTGATTAAGTGAAGTAAGATAGCATTGCTCAGCAAGCAAACATTCAAAAAATTAACCATAGAAAAAAAAAGTCAAAAACATAATTAAATTGAAAAGATGATAAACTCAACACTACTACTCTAAGGAGCTTTAAATCTCAGAAAACAGGCATGTGATTAAGAGTCAAAGACTCAACGCAAACAAGTTTACACTGGAAAGTGTGGAGCTTGAAATAGCTCCAAATCATTGATAAACCATTTTGAGAAATTCCAATCCCCCAATATCTATATCTACTCAATGAAGTTTCTAGTTTCCTACTAAATGTTCTCAATCAAGTACATATAGAACTTCCAACTGCCTGATAAAATATACATTATTCCTTCATAAATTCTGCAGCTTTTATCTCAGTTTTTTATCCCCCCCACCCAGAAGTTACCAGTAATCAATTCAACATAAATACCGCAGGTTTCTAAACTGAAAGAAAGTGTACATAGAAAGTAGCAATCAGCAGCTGAGATACTCAACCGATGTCAAATAGAATAATTAAAGAACACAGAATTCTATTTTTCTCATGAAAACAACCATTAGCATCGTTACAAGAAGATTCTTCAGTAAATGCATACCTTGTTCAAAGAGCTTCTCATCAACCTGCTTTGCTACCTGTTTTTATAGAAGGAATCATGAGTACCAAACTTGAGTAAATATCCTGTAGTAAGTAAAATGCATGTGCAATGAGAGTAACAAATTAACAACAAACTAACCTTGTTGAAATGCTCATACTGCCTGTTACCTAGACCAAAGACACCATATTTAACATTTTGAAGCCATATTCCCCTGTCGTTTCCCTAATTAACCAAATAAAACACCCATGTCAATCAGTCAATACCAAATAATTGATAGATTCTCTTCAGATGGTTTTCCCTATTTTACCTCAATAAACCACTTATAAAATCTTGCAGCATTATCAGTGGGCTCACCATCACCATACCTAAAACAATCAGTTAATAACCAAAATCTGAAAACCTTATGCTAGGATATACAAATTAAGTCCACAAAAATATCAAACGGGTAACATTATCCATTTAACTCACGTTGCAAGCATAAAAAATGCAATTTTTTCTTTCCGGAGTTTCTCTTCATACTCATCATCATCAGCTGCATAATCATCCTAAATGATAGCACAAAAAGTGTAACCTTTTAGAAAATGAAAAAGAAAAGGCACTAGAGATGGACACCAAAGCTCCTAAAATTATATTGTAACAGTAGCTTCTTTCAAGAGGATAATTTGAAGTTGCGTACCAGATCAACTACTTTAAAGATGGCCTTGTCATAGCGAGCTTTTGCCTCTTCAGCAAGAGCCTTCAGAGAAACAATGGATAAACTCAAAATCCATCCATTTTAACAATAAACTAAATACACAAAGAAAGTCAACGTAGCGAACGAAATCATCAAAACAACGGGAGAAAGATAGATAGAGAGAGAGGGGAAATAAAATTGTGCAACCAGGAGATGTAGAGAGAGCAGAGAGGAAATTATTTATCAGACTAAGAGTAAGAATTAGAGATACTGTCAAACTATCAAGCTACGACAAAGAAAGAATGATAGAGAGGTAAATTCATATCAAACTATAATAGAGAAATAGAGGAGAAAGATAGAGGGAACGGCAGAGAGAGATTAAGAGCCATAGTTTTTCCTATGAAACACAGAGAGAAAGAGAATGATGAAAAGATAAAATCAAGCCAGCAACTACGAGAGAGAGAATGATAAAGAGTTAAATTCAAGCCATCAAACTAAGAGAGAGAGGGATGAAGTTAAATGGATCAAATCAACCAATCAAACTGAGAGAGAGAGAGAGAGCTCGAAGAACAAAATCATACCTTTGCGAAACCCTCAGCAGTTCCTGTTTGAGTCCCAAAAAAGATCGTGACTTTCTCCTTTCCAGGATCCACCTCTGCTTCCTGCTCCGGCTTCACAACAACAAGCTTATTCACCTCAACCACCTTACCACTCTTTTGCCCTAACGATCTTCTCCAAACAAAGAAAAACACACAGCCGATCAACACCGCAACTGAGGTCGTCAAAATAACCAGAAGCTGAGGATTTTCCCGGCCATTTTCCGGTAATATCGCCGGAATTTCCTTCCCATTGATCAGAGCCGACATCAGGTCCAAGGGCGAGATTTCCAAAAGACTCTTGGCAAGCTTAACGGAATCAGACTGCATTATCGCCGGGAAATCGCCTGATTATGTCCGTACGCAGTGAAATCGGATCTAAGCGGGGATTCCGGAATGGATTGGCCGGAAAATCACACCGGAATCTTGCCGGAATCTCACCCGCTTAGGCTGATAAAAAGGGGAGCGCGAAAGCGAGTGGTTTTTTCTAAGTTGTGGCTTTTAGAAAGAGAGAGACTGCGGGCGGGTGTCTCAGCTCTTTATTTTGTGACATAGGGGTCAGACCAACGCCTACCAAACCCGACTAGTCATGACCACCTAACCCGTTAACCAAGGTTAGCCACGTGGCGAGTTGTGAGAGCGAGATTATTTGTGGTCGAGTTAAGGGCACGTGGGAAATTGTCATGCTCAATGCTTGCCATTTTCTTAAGGGGAAAGTAAATATGAACATTTGCTATATGATCTAAAAAATAATTGGTTTATTCAAATCTTGTTTGTAAGTATTTTTTTTTTGGAAAATTACAAAAAAAAACGAAAAACTGTTAAGACGAGACTTTCTATGCAACCTACTCCAACCAAATAAAAAATAAAAAAAATACCTAAACTACCGTCTATTACTTTTATCTTACCTTATCTCTCTTCTATCCCACTAAAATAGACCAAAATAGGGGCTTCGGTATTGTGTAAATGCTATCTGGGCGTAGAGCTCTGCACTGTGTAAAGTGTTGTCCAGCACTAGGGCTCCGACACTCTATACAGTGCGGTCCGGCAGTAAATATTACTAGATTCCAAAGCTTCGATACTATGTAAAAGGCGGTCCGGTAGTGGTCTTAGAGTGCTCCAGCACTTGTGTGCTACAGCAATGTGATGGTGCGTTCCGGCAATATGCTGTTGGGTCCAAAAGTCAACCTCAAATGTGACCAAAATGATTTTTGTGTACATTAAAGGCATTTCCCGTATAGAAAATGAACTTTTTCTCTTAGGGGTATTTACATAAATTACATGTTTCATAAGTGGAAGTTTCTGGAAGTGGGAGTTAAATGTCCCACTTCTATGTTTGATATTACTGTATGAAAGTTGCAAAGTGGAAGGACAACCTTCCATGTAGCTTTTTTTAAATGTTAAAATGGGTTTATTTTGATAAGACCTCTCCTGCATCAAAAAGGATGGAAGGGCGTCTTCCATAATTTGTGGGAGAGTCCCTTCCACTCCCAAAAACTATGTTTTGGATAAAAAAGAATAAGAAAAAAAGTTTGGTTGAAGGCAAGTTGTATAGAAAGTGTGGTATTGGGGTTCTTTGTAATTTTTCTTCTTTTTTTTTTTTCTCTAAGGCTTAGGCTTTATGAAAACAAAGTAAACCCCTACATCCAATCCTCGTCCAAAAAGCAATTTTGTTAATAAAAATTTTCATGATGGTTCTAAAATCAATTTCCAACATTGACTATGAAATTTGAAACTCGAAAAAAAATACTAATCTTGCGGATCCATAAACACTTATTTTTAGGGGTGAAATGGATGGTCTAGATAATATATTATATGTAAACTCTTTTAGAACTCAAAAACCTAATTCTTTTTCACAACCATAATTGTCAACGCCAAGATGATCAAATTCAAGGTTTCTCGACACCATTACTACTTGAGTTTTTAGGTGGGCCTTTACTTATTTTGATAAAGCTACATTCTATCAAATTATTTTCATTTTTTTATTATTTTGTGTATCCTATATTACGAAAATATTTACCACTATTACAAGGACGTCCCGATTACTCATAGCTTAGGGTGTGTTACGAAGTTTGAGAAAAAAAAATTGAACTTCAAACATAATCAGTGACACACTTTTAACTACCCAATTTTAAAATATGACATACAAGATGGACTATGACTTCCTTGTATTAAAAATAAATGGTCTCTTTTTATTTTTTATTTTTTTTCTTTTCGGTTCTGTTTTGTGTCATTTTGAATGAAAAATGCATAGGGACTTGGATTGAGAATCAATGGGCACGTTGTCTGATCTAAAATTTGTGGGGACCAACCTAGATTCATTCCCATTTTGATGGATTCGTTCAATACTGTTAGAGAATTAAGCAAGTTTGACATATATTGTGTGATTCAGATCGTTGGATTGCCTGATTCTCGTTGATTTATAATTATATTTTCATTTTATTTTTTCATGTTTAAAATATTATTGAAAAGTTTTTCCCAACTCATTTCCACACATGATAAATAGTCCAACTCAGCCCAAATTGGCGACGATCTAGATTAGTCGAACTACACATGATCCATCTAAGCATACACCTGATTTGGTAAACCACGTTTCTTGTACGAATAAGTGATTTCATGCAATGGTTGTATTATAGTTTAATGCAACGACACTTCTAGAAAACCATATTTGTGGTATTGTAACGATCCAAAATTTTACACACACGCTCTCTTCATCTTAATAATCAATCCCAGAAAAGAAAGAAAAAGAGTTTAATTTAAACCCTAGATATGGTCAAAATGAGTCCCCTCCAAAAACGAATCTAAACTATTCATTTGGTGCATTTCATGATCTTAGTTTTTATAAACTCAAAATCATTTTTTTTTTTCTTTTTAACATTGTTCATCTAATGATAATAAAGCCATCCAAAAAAATTGGAAATGAAAAAATCCTTCTAAAATCTAGATCTAAGCATCTCACCAAAATGAACGTCATATATTAATTGGGCTAAAAAAATACTTTATAGGCTGTGTTTTCCAATTTTTATTTTTTGTGACTATTCATTAGAATGAAAAGAGTATATATTTCAAAATTTTGATCAAACAAATAGCTATAACATGGTTTTTGAAGGTTTTTATATCATATTACTAAACAATCGTTGCATGAAATCATTGCCCGATACAAATATATTACAATCACCCCTAGTGATTATTAAATATGAAATTTTGTAATTTGAGATGTATCGTTAGTTCAGAATAAATATATAAAAAGAAAATAAAATTACAACTTTGAACGCAATCAACATTTCTGTAAGAGTTATGTTTAAAACAATGTAAGAACATTTCTGTAAGAGTTATGTTTAAAACAATGTAAGAAAGAGTAACTCAGGTTGACTAATCGGTCATGGCCCGAGACAATTGTTTGGGCCAAGTTTGAATAACTCGGCCCGATTAGTGCTGAGTTAAGTCATGTGTAAAAACCCAAAAAATATAAGAAAATTGTCAAAATATTAAATTTTTATATTTATTGTTTTTTATATTGTTAGATAAAATAAATGAAACGAAAAAATATTATAAGCATAATTGGGTTCTCCAATGGCTTAATTTGTTTTAAAAAATATTGGTGGTAGGGAGAGAGATTTAGGGGAAGGATGTGTATGGAGAGAGAGGGGGTTTGGGGAGAATCATGGGGGAGAGAGAGAGAAGGGGATTTTGAAATGCATAATTTTTTAACATTTGGGCTAAAAAGATAGAGTCAAAGTGAGTAAAGTTGGTCCAAGGGTTAAAAGATCTAATACATAGGATATTTACGTTTCTAGATATGTTTGGAAAGCTTGAGTCTATTGAGAAATGAAACATAAAAATACGGTCTACAAAGATATTTTCCTTAAAAATTTTAGGCACTTAAGACAACAATTTTCCAGTGAACAAATAATATAAATAAATTATATATTTACATATTAGTAAAAAAAATTGCTCAAAAATTTAAAAATTGATGATGGAGTTCGGGATTTTTTTGAGTTTCGCTATCAATATTGATTAGGGCAAAAATTGTTATGAAGCTCGATGGAGTCTCGAAGGTAGCAACAACGCCTCCTTGCCAAGTAAGAATACTACCATGAGAAATTCCTAAGTCATAATTACCTAGATTTTGAAAGTTTCACTTTGAAATTCCTAGGGTATAGTCAATGCAAGAAAGAGAGAGTCAATGTAAGAGAGAGAGAGTATGTATGTGTGTGACTCACTGCGCTAGAGAGGGAGTCAGAGAGAGCTGGCCTACTGGAAGAGAGAGAGAAAGATGGGGTGTGTTTCTCGGCACAGAGGGTGGGAGTCTTAATGACCCCTTATGGCACAAAATTATCCATCTAAATGATATAGATTCTCTTTCCAACATTGGTTAGAGAAAGCTTCAATAGTGGAGTTGGAACCACTTGAAAAAAGGGCAAGCTTTCTATGCTTTCCCTTCGGCATAAAACTTATATACTTCCCCTTATCCAACAATCCATTTTGAATAGAGAGCTAAGATCACCTCAATCATAATGTTACATCTCTACACTATTTTATTTTTAATTTTTTTGTATAAACTATTTTGACACTAAATTTTATACATCCAGTCCTTTATTAAACTCGCACTATCGAAAAATATAAAAAAAATATTTCCAATAAAATAAAATGACCAAAATATCTCTGAAAATTTCAAGGGGTATTTTGATCATTATATTTTATTAAAAATTTATTTTTAATATTTTCTATAGGTGCGCCCCAATGAGAAGATGACACATACCAAATTTCCTATTCATACAATTTGTATAAAAAATACTTTGAGACATCGGATCTAAGATCAAACGGTGAGGAGCTCTCTTGATCAAAATTGGACGATTGGATGGTAGGGGAAGTATAGATCTTCTATGCTATAGGGAAAGTATAGAAATATTTCCCTTGAAAAAAAGCTTGTGGATGACTACAAAATCCATTATTGGTCATGTAAAATGCTTTTATTCGGCTTTTCTAAAAACAAGGCAAAAATCACCAATGTTTTTGAGTAAATTATCGATTAGTTCACAAATAAGCACATTAGTGTATAAATTGGCTGAGTTGTATAGTAACTCCGGCCGATTAGTGCATCGTAGGGGTAGTGTATAAATTGGCTGAGTTGTATAGTAACTCCGGCCGATTAGTGCATCGTAGGGGTGCCTCCTACATAGAGGCAAATGAAATCAAGAACATTGGCATATAGGTAATTAATTTATTATATACTGTTCCACAAATAAAATATAGAATTGTATACTATGAGACTATTTATCTTTCGCAAAGGATGTCACAATTCCTCTTAGCCATCAAATGTCAAATTGGATGGCTTAGGATGTGGCATAAACTTTGATAAAGTTTTTTTTTTTTTTTGAAGTTTTAATCTAGTTAATGACAAACTCACAACTACCCCATTTGAAATTCAAAGAATAAAAGTGATTGTGACAGTCTTGTGGAGGACTAAAAATATATTTTATATCTAATTATAAAATTTTAAACTAAAAAATGATTAAAA